TTAAAACCAGGGATTGCAAACTAGTAACTTCAGGACAAATTAAGGCCCTGGATTTGTTTGACCAACACAGTATTTTTAAAATATATGCACATATAATATGTAAAACATAATATCTTCATGCGCATCTTGCTATAGTTGCAGCCCCTCCTAGTCTCTTTACAAAATAAAGTTACCTTTTTGTGTTCTGTCTAATAACTTCATTAATATTAATGTTATTAGATACTCATGATATAATTTACCTGCATTATTTAATTAAATCCACATAATAAGTTTGAGGTATGCTATTATTGGGCTTCTTTGAATGTCACTTTTATAGCCTAGCCCTTCTAGGAGGCATCAATTAGTGTGTCTAACTGCATAATGAGGAGGGAAACAAACACATACCTGTTTTGGGTAAGTGCCATTTCTGTCCCACTGAGAATTCTCTTTGGGAAATTAAATCATGGTCAGAAGGGTAATTTAGATAGTCCTGTGGCTTTTGTGGTGGCAGTTTTTATTTAGATCTAATAATCAGTTAGTTATCCTCTCTGTAGAGGTGGACTAGGGTCACGGCTGTTAACTGGAGTGTCCCCTCCCCAGGACTGCTGCGATTTCAATATGGCCTTTTTTTGTGGTTTCTTATTAGTTTAAATATTAGCTGTTGTTTTGCCTAATGTCTCTAATAAGTTGTCTCTAATGGCTTTAATATGCATAATTTATTTGGTATCCATATTTGCTTTGAAAGTATCTCTCTGTTCATTGGGTTAAAAAAACCACTTGTTTGGAGGGTCTCAATATTCTTTTATTATCTGTAAAGGTAAGCATACTGTTGATAAAGTTTATGTGTTGAATTATAACAAACAGGTGTGGCTTTTGGGGAAGAAAGGTCATTTTGGACATTAAAAAGTATTGTGCTTTTTCGTTATCTAGTGGCCTGATTGATAACTTCATTCTCTTTAATTCTGACAGTTTGTTTTCTTTGCTCACTAATAATGAATGTAAACAAGTAGCGTAAGGAAATGATTTAAATATTAATTCTTTTTTTGTCTGTATTGTGTTGCTTTGAGTGCATATATTGAATTTATACATTTATCTTCATTTGCAGAAATAAGCGGATTTTGAAAACAAAGAGAAGAAGGGGTGCAAGAGGGGGCCAGGATCCAGGCCTCCATCCCCACATCAGTGAAGCTACAGCCGGGAGGTATCCTCCCACCACAACCGTCACCCTGGGTCCCGCAGGTCCAGCCGACTGCCCCCCTCCTCCTCCTCCCCCTCCCCCCAACAACAACAACAACAACTCCAAGCACAGTGGCCACAGGAGCCCCTGCGTGCCCAACATGACCGAACGCCGCAGGGACGAGCTCTCTGAAGAGATCAACAACCTCAGAGAGAAGGTCATCAGGCAGTCCGCGGAGAACAACAACCTGCAGAGCCAGGTGCAGAAGCTCACAGAGGAGAACACCACCCTTCGCGAGCAAGTGGAGCCCATCCCCGAGGAGGAGGAAGACGACATTGAGCTCCAGGGAGCTGCAGCTGCTGCTGCCCCACCCCCTCCGATCGAGGAAGAGTGCCCAGAAGATCTTCCCGAGAAGTTTGATGGCAACCCAGACATGCTGGCTCCTTTCATGTCCCAGTGCCAGGTTTTCATGGAAAAGAGCACCAGAGATTTCTCCATTGATCGCGTCCGCGTCTGCTTCGTGACAAGCATGATGACCGGCCGTGCTGCCCGCTGGGCCTCAGCTAAGCTGGAGCGATCCCATTACCTGATGCACAACTACCCCGCCTTCATGATGGAAATGAAGCATGTCTTTGAAGACCCTCAGAGGCGAGAGGCTGCTAAACGCAAGATCAGACGGCTGCGCCAAGGCATGGGTTCTGTCATCGACTACTCCAACGCTTTCCAGATGATTGCCCAGGACCTGGATTGGAACGAGCCCGCGCTGATTGACCAGTTCCACGAGGGCCTCAGTGACCACATCCAGGAGGAGCTCTCCCACCTCGAGGTCGCCAAGTCGCTGTCCGCCCTGATCGGTCAGTGCATTCACATTGAGAGAAGGCTGGCCAGGGCTGCTGCTGCTCGCAAGCCCCGCTCTCCGCCCCGGGCGCTGGTGATGCCGCACGTTGCAAACCCCCACCAGGTGGATCCCACGGAGCCTGTGGGAGGAGCCCGCATGCGCCTGACCCAGGAAGAAAAGGAGAGACGCCGAAAGCTGAACCTGTGCCTCTACTGCGGAAACGGAGGTCACTATGCCGACAACTGTCCTGCCAAGGCCAACAAGTCTTCGCCGGCGGGAAACTCCCCGGCCCCGCTGTAGAGGGACCTTCAGCGACCGGGCCAGAAATAATAAGGTCCCCACAAGATGATGTCTCTTCATCTGCGCACTTACAAGTGATGCTCCAGATTCATCTTCCGGGCAGACACACCCTGTTTGTCCGAGCCATGATCGATTCTGGTGCTTCTGGCAACTTCATTGATCACGAATACGTCGCTCAAAATGGAATTCCTCTAAGAATCAAGGACTGGCCAATGCTCGTGGAAGCAATTGATGGGCGCCCCATAGCATCGGGCCCTATCGTCCACGAAACTCACGACATGATAGTTGACCTGGGAGATCACCGTGAAGTGCTGTCATTTGATGTGACTCAGTCTCCATTCTTCCCCATCGTCCTAGGGGTACGCTGGCTGAGTCTGCATGACCCCAGCATCACATGGAGCACTCGATCTATCGTCTTTGATTCCGACTATTGTCGCTACCACTGCCGGATGTATTCTCCAATACCACCATCGCTCCCACCAGCAGCACCACATCCGTCACTCTACTATCCAGTAGATGGGTACAGAGTTTACCAACCAGTGAGGTATTACTATGTCCAGAATGTGTACACTCCAGTAGATGACCACGTCTACCCAGATCACCGCCTGGTAGACCCCAACATTGAAATGATACCTGGAGCACACAGCATTCCCAGCGGACATGTGTACTCACTGTCCGAATCTGAAATGGCAGCTCTCCGAGATTTTGTGGCCAGAAATGTAAAAGATGGGCTGATTACTCCAACAATTGCACCCAATGGAGCACAGGTTCTCCAAGTGAAGAGGGGGTGGAAATTGCAAGTTTCTTATGATTGCAGAGCTCCAAACAATTTCACTATCCAGAATGAGTATCCTCGTCTGTCTATTCCAAATTTAGAAGACCAAGCTCATCTGGCAACCTACACTGAATTTGTACCTCAAGTACCTGGATATCAGACATACCCACCGTATACCACGTACCCGACCTACCCAGTAGGCTTCGCCTGGTACCCAGTGGGACGAGATGGGCAAGGAAGATCTCTCTACGTACCTGTTATGATCACCTGGAATCCACACTGGTACCGCCAGCCTC